CAATGATTCTCTCTCATCATCGATGTTTCTATATCTTTCTCTCCCTCTCTCTTTCTCTCTGAAATTCATAAAAATATATATTTTAAAAAACTTTTTTTCTAAGAGCTATAAATTTACACCAAATTTTCTTTGTGGAAATGCAATAGAGTCCCAGATATTCAAAGTAAAACAATATATATATTAGAGGCCCGGTGCACAAAAATTTGTGCACTTAGGGGGGAGGGGGAGGTCCCTCAGCCCGGCCTGTGCCCTCTTACTGTCTGGGACCCCTCGGGACATAACGACCTGCTGGCTTAGGGCTGCTCCCGGATGGCAGCGGGCAGGCCCAATCCCTAGGTGCAGCCCCTGGTCGCGCTCAGAGCAGGGCCAATTGGGGAGTTGGGGCGCCACCCTCTATCACCCACAGAGCAGGGCCGATCAGGGGGTTGGGGAACTCCCCACATCAGGCACAGAGCAGGGCAGATCAGGGTGTTGGAGCGCCTTCCCCTGTCAGGAACAGAGCAGGGCCGATAGGGAGGTTGTGGCCCCGCCCACTGTCACACACAGAACCGCAGGGCGATCAGGGGGTTTGGGCGCTGTCCCCTGTCACGCTGATCCCGGTGCTGGGAGGCATATTACCCTTTTACTATATAGATTAGAGGCCTGGTGCATGGGTGGGGGCTGGCTGGTTTGCCCTTAAGGGTGTCCTGGATCAGGGTGGGGGTCCCCACTGGGGTGCCTGGACAGTCTGTGTGAGGGGCTGAGGGCTGTTTTCAGGCTGGTGGATGACGGAAGCTCCCAACTGCTCCTTTTATTCTTTTCTTTTTTTTTTTTTTTTATTCTGGGCCAGCTTTAGCTCTGAGGCTTGGCTCCAGCTCTGAGGCCTCCGCTGCTGAAAGCAGGTATCTGCTTTGTTTCAGTTCTATAATTGAAACTCTGTATCAACTCCAGCTCTGAGATCCCAGCTCGCTGAAAGCTGGTTTCTGGGGTTTTTTTTAGCTTCTATATTTGTTAAAATGTTTCAAACTGCAGGCTCAGAGGCCTGCAGTGGCAGGCAGGGAACGTTGGTTTCCTCCATCACTGAAGCAAGCAAGCCTCATGTTCAGTTTAAGCTGCCTGGCTGCCGGCAGCCATCTTGGCTGGGAGTTAATTTGCATATCTCGCTGTTTAGCCAATGGGAAGGGTAGCGGTCATACGCCCATTACCATGTTTCTCTTTTATTAGATAGGATATACACATACATTGCCAGTATTTGTATTGCACTGTAATCTCTTATATTTAACTGGACTCCTTTTTCAGAGTGCAACTTTGTATAGCATTCACATGAAAGCAACTTGAATACAACAAAAAAGGAATATGTAAAGTTATCTATTACCATTAATTATGCATTAACCTCCTGTTTAAAATCTCCACATTTGAAGTGAAAATCATAAGTGAACTTTCTAATAAGCATAGATTCCAATTTTTTTAAAGAAAGTAGGTCAGAAAAAGAATGAGAATAAAAGTTTCTCTATTATCAGAAAACAACTTTTCTAGTTCTTTTTTTCCCCAATCAAATTTGAGTTTAGGTATAACATAAAACTGCGTCCATCAGATCCCTTTCTTAGTCACATATTTGTGACTGAACTGGGTAGCAATTTGACTGTTCTCCAATCAATTCAGTCAAAAGGATGTCTGAATAATACTAATTAAACTGGAATATCAAGAATGAGAATAACAACGTGAAAACCACTTGTTATGTTATAGGGAATTAAAAAAATTAAAACATATAAAACTGTCAAGTTTTCACATTGCTTGTCCAGGGTATTACTAAATATGAAAAGAAACAAAAATTACCAAAGATGAAAAGAAATAAAAATGTCACCCATAATTCAGATAAAAATAAGTCAATAAAAATCAACTCTGAGATAACCCAAACATAGTATACAGTTGACGAAGACTACAAAGAAGCTTTTATGTAAATAGATCTAAAGAATATGTTTGAAAATTTCAAAGCAATCATAGTCTTAATGAATAAACAGAATCTCAGCTGCAACATAGAACTATGAAAAATATCAAGTAGAAATTCTAAATCTGAAAAATGCTGAATTCATTGAATGATATTAGAAGAAGAATCAACTCAGATTAATGAATAGGAATTATCCAAACTGAATAACAGAGAGATCAAGGGTTAAAGAAACTGAATAGAATCTCATGTGGGATAATATCAAATAGTCTAATAAACTACTGGGAGCATGTGTGATTAAAGTCCCAAAGAGAAGCGTGAGAATGACACGGAAAAGTCCTTCAAAAATAACAGCTGGACATTTTACAACATTGGAGAAAAACACAGACATAATAGGTACAAGTTTAATGAATACTTATCAAGACAGATATAAAATGAACACTATATACAGAGAATAACTATTGAAAACCAAAGGTAAAGTGATGATCTTGGAAAAAATCAGAGAAAAAATACTCTAAGGCAAGAATTTCTAAGCAGCTTTGGTAGGAAGAGAAAAATGTGGTAGGAAAAGAACTAAAGATGGACTTTGTTTCATGATTTTGCCTAGAACTCACCTTGTTTAGGAGGGAAACACCCTAAATTTCTTCTGAAGCCGGTGGCAAGAAAGATAAAGAAGAAGACCACTTCAAATCAGTTCTTCATGTGCTAAACAATTCCTGCAAAATCCCACAGCTTAAATATTTAATAATTCTTTAAAAATCTATTTCTGTCATAAATTTCTGAGTTGCTGCAAGTACGGCTTGTAACATAGTGTCAGAATATTGGACTTGGTCTTTTTTATTTGTTTTTCCCCTTTCATCTAATTTACTAGAGTAGTCATTGCAACATGAGACTTTTCACTTAGGCCAATTATAATTTCCCCCCAGTTTTAGTATCAATACAAGAAATCAACATTTGAAAAACTAAGGAGAATTACATAAATAGGACTGAGAAAAGGTTCATCCATTTAGCTGCTAGCATGTGAGTGCCAATTTTCAGTTAGAAAAAGATAAATTCAGCCAAAAGAATGCACTTGTCAGCTAGTGTAGAGATTTCTCAAGAGTACACCTAGATGAGATGTTGCAATTCTTGCTACATGCAACTTATCATTAAACCAAAGTGGTAGATGTTGTTGCAAAAGCAGAGATAAAGTCATAATTTTTTAAAAGTAAAAAAACAGGCTGGACTTAAACTTGTTAGCAAAATCATAGGGAACAGTTAGCTGTATGTCTGAATGAATCAGAAGATGACTGAAATTTCAACTGCTAAATAAAAACCTACAAAGTACATATATTGTATTATCTTAAATAAAAATAAAAACTATAAGGTGTTAACAGTTATTCTCTGAGTTCTGGATTTCTTAATTATTTTTAAACTCTGACACTTGTTTAGAGTTTGTTTCCAAATAATTTATAGTAAAACTAAAATATTTTTAAATTAATTTGTACAGTAAACCAGAAGTTTAGCAAAGGGAAAAGTTTAGATTTGTAGGCAGGAAGATGATCCTAACAACAAAACTATTTGCCCATTATTTCCTCTCACAAGATCTCCTTTACGTTACAGGCTGCCATTGACCTTACAGGATACCTTTGCTTTGCTTAGCTACCAACTAAAGGAGCTCTATTTTCTGAACCTAACACCCAAGTATCTTCAATTTAGATGGAGGATCTCACTAAAACTGTAACTGCTTTGTGCAGTGTATTGAGATTTGGATGCCCTCTGCCTACACAGTTAATCCTTGGCCACTAAATTGTTCATGGATTTCTAGGATGCTTATCTGTGATATTTCTAAGTTTCATTGGTTCCAATGATCTTCTCAGGTATCAATTTGGAAGGTCAGTGAAGACAGTGATAATAACTAGAATAAAGACTACTGATGTTATCATGTGTTCGATGTCATGGTAAATCTGCAAATGGATTGTCTGAAACTCACAATAATCTTGTGACCAAAAAATACTGAGTTATCACTACTTGGCCAGTGAGAAAAATGAGACTTAGAAAGAGAAAATAATTTCCCAAGGTTACACAGCCAATAAGGGCTGGGTGAGAATTTGACTCTAGAGCCTGTATATCCCAACCCTACCTGACCCTGTTTCCAGAAAAGAGGACCCCTGCAAGGAGCAGGAGCTGACCTGATTCTGATGAAGGATGGTGAATGATTGGAAAACACCTGCACTCTCTGGGCAAGTCACAGAATCTTTCTGGGGCTCTGTTCCCTCTTCTGTAAAATGAAGATATTGAGTCCCATGTTCTACACGGCCACTGTGAGATCTCTGGTTACAGTAGCCTACAATATACCAGTTGTATAGTGTTAGTAGAAAGAACTTTAACTTAGCCGTACAAGTCCAAATTTTACCATTAACTTTTGTGAGTTGGGGCAAGTCATTTAACCTCTCCAGGTATTTTCTTCACTTCAGGGGTTTTTTGTTGTTGTTTTTTTTTAAGATGTTAGTAGCTTCAAAAAAGTGTAATATTGCACATAAAGTACTATCCCAACATCTTAAATAAATTTTATAGCATTGAAATTATGGATTTGAGTAATTATGATAAATTGGCTTCTCACTCTTTTTTCTTATTATTTAAAACACCTAATGTGAAATATTTTGAGGTAATACTTATTTGTAGTAGGTTTAAACAGAGAGGGAGGGGCAGGAGGGAGGAATGGAGAGAGGGAGAGGTAGAAAGAGAGAAATAACCTCCAAGGTTCCATTCACACAGGAAAAGGGTAGAGATGTGCAAAAGAGACACGCAACCCTATAAAGAAAGGGGAAATGTACCCACTAGGACACTAGAAATTTTTAGTAAAAAGCAGCAGTGGAAAGTAAGCTATGTATACACTGACTTCTGCAGTTTGACCAAGTTAATAAGTAAAAACGCTGTCATGTGTCACATTTTCCCCAGGGTGTCTATTTACCTTGATATTGATATTATTTTATCTCTGCGGGCCAAGGATGCCCTGGCTTCTGTATAGAGATTAATGATTGATTAGCTCATAGTCAGGAAGCTTACTAAAAGGGAACTGGTTACTCTTAGCTGCCATTTTTTTCTGGGTTACCTGCAGGAAACAGGGTGCCGCAGGACTTGCCAGCCGGGAAATGAAGAGGATATTATTTCTCCTGCTCACTGTGCATGCTCTGGAAAGAGGTAAGACTTCCCACGCTGGGACCATTTACAAGAACTCTTACCAGTTTAATTGTCTGTCGCCACTTTAAAAAAGTATACAAAGGTGAAAAACAGAGTAATTGGTGAGGATGTTAGGAAGAGAAGAATCAAAGCAGGGTTAATCTGAGCTGAAATGTGGCCTTCAACTGGAATAGCCAAGACATCAAGATAATCTCATGAAAGGAAGAAAAAGTATATAATTTGTCAATTATCCTTCCCTGCTCTTTTGATAACCAAGACCTGCGGAGAATGTTTTGAAGTTGGAATATTTTTTTAAAATGTATTTGAGAGAGAGAAACATCAGTGTGTTGTTCCACTTATTTATGTATTCATTGGTTGATTCTTATATGTGCCCTGACCTGAGACTGAACATGAAACCTTGGTGTATCAGGACGATGCTCTAACCAACGGAGCTACCTTGCCAGGGCAAAATTAGAATCGTTTTAGTTAATAAGAAGAAATGCAAATGGAGGTTTTTATCCACCCATGAGCACTTTTTTCAGATTTTAAATATTTATTGCCACTGAGAGCATAATATACCATATCAATGAGGTCAACTGAGATTTGAGTCTCTTAAAGGAACCCCATACATATATTTGAAAATACATTGTAGTTTCTAAAATATTCCACGTAAAACAATTTAATGGCCATTTAACATGATTATCAAAAGATAATTGAGCTATATTTTATTAAGATTATTCTTCAAATAGTATCTTCATCTTTTAGCAATGTTTAAAAATCTTGTTAAATGATACAGGTTGAAATTATCTGAAGTATACAACTTTATAAAATTTTCAGCTTGGGAAATTTCCATAATCAGTTTCAATTTACTTTTCTGGATGATGCTTAAATACCTGTAAGGGATCTGCATTCATCCAGCTTTGAGGAATTAGTTTTCACTTAGTACTGTCAGTCTCACCGAAGTGATACATTAATATTCATATTAGTACTGTATTTAACCTGTGGAATAAAATGTGTATAGTCTAGGAATTATTGGTATTAAATGTGACATGAATAATCTTACTCCTGACTTATTCTATTTACATTAACTTTTCCTTGATCTTACTTTTGTTGTACAAATTTTGTCTCATTCACCAATAGATTTTTAAGTAAGCTATGGGTCTTTATGTAAGACTACAAAGTCTGAGATGTACTGGGGTATAAATAAGTAACATAAATTGTGTCCCCGAAGAGACCTCTGAATAGGCCAACACCTAAGAAACCCTGAAAGCTTATTCCTTTGCCCAAGGGTTTCCCTGGAGTAGATTTGAACCTGAAAATGCCTATTGCAGCAGTGTTGATCAGGATGTTCAAAACACCAGAAGGTTCAGTAATGGCTAGGACCCGGAATTATATGTAGATGTTATAAGGTGGGACATGAGTCTCCATGTCGGACTGCTGACTCAGTAAGTGTACATTGCCTTTGCCTAAAAGAGTTATAGTGTCCTTTGAAGAATAACAGAATTCTGCAGCCTCTATTTCGACATCCTTCAACATCCTCTGACTCTGATGAAATGGATGCTAAAGTCAACTTGCTTCACGTCACGCAGGTGCCATAGGTTTGACGATATTCCCTGAGACATTCATAATACATTTGCAAGTAACCAATGTTTAATATTTGGCTATAGGGGTTCTGACCCTTCAGTCCTCTATTCCAGGGGTGGGGAATGGCTAGCCCGCCGGCCATATAAGGCCCGTGAAATCATTTGGTCTGGCCCTGCCAAGGCATTAGGGGTGAATTAATTAAATGTTTCACCAAATATAGCAAGCTAATTTTTACGTTGATAATTTTGTACGGTATAGCAGGCTAATTTTTACGTTGATAATTTTGTACGGCCCCCAGATAACCTTTTAAATATTCAAATGGCCATTGGCTGAAAAAAGGTTCCCCAACCCCAAATACTAAGTCAGCAATGTACCTGGATGCTAGAAGTGTGGCCTTGGGAGAAAATTGCAAAGTATATGAATTAAAAGAGTTGAGAGAACTTTGGACAGTGGAGGATTGTTAGAGCTGCAGTTTTCTCTGCCTGTTACAGTTCTAGATAGCTAACTGACCGCCCACAGCATTTGTCTAGACCACCTTTTCTAAAAGTATTTCACTCAAGACTCGTCTTGGAAAAAAGTCTCTATGGTCAAACACATTTAAGAAACAAGCTATACATTTGTCCCTCTTGGTTGGTTCACAATCACTGTTTGTTTTACTAAAGGTTCTGAGAAGTCCTGTAAGGAAGAAACCTTACTTGATCCAGAGTTTCCCAAATGTATTGGCTTTTCCCTAAATTGCCTATATCCTATGGGAGCATTTTTGGATATTTCAGGTCTATAATGGATACTGCTGTAGCTCAGCATGAACATCAGCTCCAGTTAGGCCAGTCCTCTCCTACCCAACAGCACTGGGGATACAGTCCACAAACCCTTCTGTGCTTCTGGGGAGAGGTACAGAATCTGGATGGAGTCATAAGACAACACCCAATATACCTACCCCTTGAAAAACAAAACAACAGTGTTTGCCAGTTGCCTCCACCAGACTTCTTTCCCTGGGACTGAGATGAATGTAGTGCTAATCTATAATGTGCCTTCCCCTCTTCCCAAAATACAAGCAAAGGCTGCTGACTCGGCTATATAATTAACAAGGAGATAATGCTAACCAGAAGTATGTTATTGCAGTTCATAAGAGCTGTTGGCAAGAACAGGATATTTACTATGAACGTGTACATTTTTTCGTCAAGCACTTCATTCTTAGCATATATATTTTTACTAACCATGATACCAAATAGCAAGAAAGTCGTGGGTAAGCTGTATTTCCCCCTCTTCCATTTGCCTCTTAAAGCAGCCCTAGGCAGTGTGGGCTTTCCCAATCTCCCAAGCCACCACTGAATCACCTCGCTTCTCTTTTCTACAAGGTGCCTGCCCCTTTAACAGTAACCACTTGAAAATTAAAGTTGCCCTTAGTTTGGTTCAGGAACACAGCTGTATAGAATGCCAGACAGAAATAATTTAGGATAAGTAGATATCCTCTCTGTTTTCCCAAATATCTTTATAAATTTTCTGCCAAACCTACATAATGGTTATTAAGGAGCTGATGTAGAATGCGAGAACTATGTGACAAAAAGGACACAGCTGTTTAAAGAGCTAAAAGTGAGTTTCAAGCAGAAGGAACGCAGGTGCAAAAGTCCTGAGCTAGGAACAAGCATGGCCAGAGTAAAGGAGGCTTTAGCCAAGCACAAACAGGAAAAGAGCTGAAGCCAGAGAAATAGGTAACTTCACCATCAAAGGCAACGTTAACCTCCCCAGAAATCAAGAGCAATGCCACACTTCACTGTTTTGGGGTGCAATGCGAGGTTTCCACTCACCATCACGTGTGTGGGTTAGGGACAAGTGTGCATACTCTTTAACAG